GATGGCCCTTGTTATGCACACGTGATCAAATTTTGCAAGTATTTTGCATCTTGCTGAGAATACTCTCTACAATAATAACTCCGCCTGCGCTCGGAGAGCAGCGTCTGCCATAGTCACTCGATCGCGGAATCCGCGTGTTCGTGCAAAGAGAGAAATTTTCAAGCTGTCTCCCACACTATCAGAAGGAGCTATCTACTAATGTTTCCATGCATTAGCTAAGACAAGCACTATCGACATAACTTGAGTGGAGATCAGGGTCAACTAGGCGGTGCGCAGATTTCAAAATTTCTACGACCTAATCCGTTTCAGAGGTATCTGTACGACCCTATGGGCTAGCTATTGTGGTTTTTACATATTTTAGGCCCATCATCGGTGTATGGGCCGTCACCGACATGGAGAGGTGGTGGACAGTGGTAAGTCCGCGCGCTTTGTCTCGCTCAGAGGAGGGAATCGAGGCAACATGAAATTTTATTCATTAAATAGAAGAATTTCCAAATTTTTGCGTAAACCTACATGGTAGTAATCGTAAAGATTTCTACTTTCAGAAACCCACCAGATTTTTTCGATCTCTCAAATCTCCTTTTTTATAATCTGAATAACTAAACCTTGCAGCAATTACGTTACGATACAAACCCTCTCCATTCAGAAGGTTATATCTTTCTTCAGAAGCGGTCTCATGGAATGGGACACAAAAATTTCAAAAACTTCAAATTGTTTCTTCCTAAAAAGTTTTTGAAACTGTTGCAAATGTTCAATTCTTCAAAAAATCGTCCCGTTGTTCCGTTTTTTGTGCACACGCGAGTTTTCACATTCAAACGTTCATAACTTCCTTCATTATCAACTTTTTGCAGATTTTAAAGCTAATTAGAAACTAGAAGATTAGCGCTTCTCAAAAAAATAGCGGATATTGTTTCAAAGATCACTTTCTACAAAAATAGTCTTATTCCTTCAAACTATAATGTGTTCAAAAGATCACTGGATAAGTACATCTGATCTGTCCTTGGTCTCCAGTTGTATTTTATTTTATTTTATTTTGTTCTATACGTTCGTGTTGATGTTGAATAGTTTTGTAGTGTATTGTTACTAACTTAATTGTTCCACATGCCTACTGGCATGTCCGTTAATAAATAAATAAATAAATAAAAATAAATAAATAGTCCCGCTATTCAGTTTTTCAGGGGTTTTGTGGTCCAATTTTTGAGAACGCGCGAAATTTCGCCATTCAGCATCCATCGAAGCTAATTAGAAAATAGGACTAATGCGTCTTTTTTGGAAAAATATGGAGACTCGTCTGAATATCCACTCTTTCAAAAATCGTTCCGTTGCTCCGTTTTCTCCTCAATGGCTTTTTTAGGCTATTCGATTAAAAAACGAGTTTTCAACCTTCGAATGGCCGTAACTTTCTCCATATTGAGAAGTGGAAAAATCATTGACATCAGCGAGACCAGTACTTTATGGTGTATGTTAGATTACCCTAGAAGAAAATCCTTCTGCTGCCAAAGGTTTCCAAATATTAGGACCCTAGTTGTTGATTCGCCTAATTCGCTGCACTTTCTCATCCCAAATCGTTGATACTGATCTAATGCCATCGAAGTTATACGAGAACTTTTCGCTTAAAGGCAAAAGTCAGGCTCGTGTTTCGGCATTATGGCGCCTGATATTGAGTTTAGAGATGGGAAGTGGAACGATAGTGAAGAAAAAACGAAAAAAAACTGTCGACAACACCTAAATCGAGAAACCCCATTCCTTCTAGCAGCAGTGAAGGAGGATTTGCTTGGGGGAGAGTCACGTGAGAACGAGTTTTCCGGATATGCCAGCCGTACCATCGGTTGATACGGCTATCATCCTAGCAGATCTCACACGTTAGGCCAACCACGCACTGCATCCCGCGGTGGGCGATCTGTGCTGCCGGGAATTCTCGCAGCACGGCAGCACACAATGCAAGGTCCTAGCGCCTTTGCTGCGCACTTCTTTGTCGCGACAACCTCACACCCCCTCTGCTTAGAGTCCCCACTTTTGCACCCTTAAAGGACTT